TGGGAATGTGTGTTTTTCACCAAGGCAACGCCATGGTTTAGAAATTGCAGCTTGTATTCTTGTCAACATCTTGATATCAATGTTAGATATCAATGTACAAGATTCTATATACCGATTATTATGTAATTTTGTTGTATTTTGTAGTAGGGATGCACGAAGGGTTTCAAAACGCCTCTTCTATGAGACGAATGCAACCTAGAGGAGCAATGCACATATGCCAACACCACTCTATCTTAAAATGACACATACAATGGGTAACTAGTGAATTAATTGGACTAACTAACGGGTCTCAATATGAAAACAACAACGCAAAAGAATTAAATATCTAAATTATATGAAAAATAGTGTTATAAAATAGGTTTGGTAATGGGGAGGAACGTTCCCGGTCTATGTCAAAAAAAAAAAAGAAATGTAGGTCAGGAGTTAGGACTTAGGCCTAAGGAGCTGTAATGGGTGTAATGAATGATGACAATGAGGAAGAGGAAAGGCAAATAAAAGAAAATAAGTGTTGAGGAACTAGTGTTTTCTTTTTGGCAAGGCAGGACGCGTGCAATCAAGTCTCCCACTCCAACTCTACATTCTTGCTGCATGGACCACGTTGATACCCAATTTGCTTGGTTTTAATGCACCACATTCATGTGATCTCACTCACTCACTCTCTCTCTCTCACACACACACACATTTGGCACTATGCTAGTACAATTTTTCATGTTCAAAATTAAAGTTCACACGTGTTATGCTTTGTTTATGCAATTATATATAGGAGGATATACGTGTGTGTGACCCACCTGTAAAGCACAAAAAATGTTTTTTCTTTTTTTGTCAGACACCATTACAGTTAGAGGGAGGAGAAGGATGAAGTTTGAATCTCAAATAAGATGTAGGCGGCAACTTAAGTCTCATACTGAATATAATTGAGAGAGAAAGAACAAGGCTTATATCCCAATGTTATGAAAACAAGGATAAAACAAGCAGCAGCAGGAAAAAAGAAAGGCTGGGTACGTAATAGAAGAAGTGTATTGTATTGTAGATAATTTGTATTTATGGTTCAGTAATTTTGGTTAGAATGCCATTAAGTAGAGGTATATATATATGTAGGTACTGGTCTGGTAGGCAGCCACATCACAAAGGAGAAGGATGAGTAATAAGGACAGTGCAAAGGGTGGCAGCAGATCCCAGAAACCAGCCCGCAATTACAACCGAATTGTATAGGTTTATTCATAGGGGAGTGGGATACTGGTGACAGTAACGGGTCATGGTATGGGTTTGCACAACCGTCCATAACAGCCGTAAAGATGATTGATTCATACAAAGCCAAAAAAAAAAAAAAAAGAGAGGAGAAGGGGGGGGGGGGGGGGGGGGGGGACAGTTTTTGAGACTGTGGACCTATTTTGTTTTCTCTGTGGATGGACCCACCCACCCACCCACCTGGATGGAATTGTGATTCATGACCTGGCTTGCCCTCGCATTTATCTTTCGTCCTACTCCTACTCCTACTCCCACCACAACAATTGCTTTTTTTCTCCCTCATTTAATGCCGGAGTACACTGATTGTGATAAGGTATATCAAACTTGGTCAGTATTGCATCCCAACTAGTCAATCTCCCCCCCCCCCTCTCTCCCTCCCTCGCCCACTCTAAGCTTTTCCTTTTTCTTCCTTTCCCTACTTTTGTTCTCACTCGAGTAGCCTTCGCTGGATAGTTGTTAATGCTCTTCCCTCGCAACTATCTTATACCTTTAAGTTTCTGATCTCCACCTCTTTATTTTGCTTTAAACAGAGTTTTGGGCTGCTTCTATTATAACTGTGTGACACAGAGAGGGAGAGGGAGAGGGAGAGGGAGCAACTATATATAAGCAATTGAGACCTAAATATTTGACTTAATTTATTGATGTAAAAGTATCGCTAACAAGATTTTGTATTTTAACTATTCATAAGTATATATTTTTTTTATATTTTAGCTACTCCTTTTTTTAATATATATTCCAACAAATTTTTTATATTTTAACTATTTTTTTTTTAAATATTATTTCTTATATCTTGTACCTTTGTTAGGACTATTAAAGAGGGAGAGAGAGAAAAAATGAAGGAAAAGGCAAAGAGTAGATAAGAGAGGTGAAAAAATGACTAGAGAGGTGAAAAAATAACAAGAGAAAAGAGAATATATTATAAATTATTTTTATATAATGCAACAATGACGAGAGATTCAATGTCGAAATTTAGCTTGGAGATGCAGTCGATACTCAACAAGAGAAGAAACATGAAGTGGACTGAGATAGAAACTCGTTTTTCCTCTCTTTCATGATTGATGAGGCGACAAGGGCTGAGAGCCTAAGACGTTTTATGTCTGTTGTTTTTAAGAATGAAATCTATTGGGTACACATTTTAAATCCATTATAACCCATATACTTATACCAATCAATAATACTCAAACTCTCTATTACCCATATAATAAAAACAAGTATTCAATCATTAATTTATGAATAGATTGGGTGAATTGATGAGTTATGGATCAAAATTATCACCTCTACTTGTAACCGGTGGATTAACACAAAGTTTTAAGTGAGAATTGAAACCAAGTATAATACGAGGAATTCTTTTGTTAATGGACAAATGCAATATCTTTGGATTAATAAGGGCATATGTCATGTACTTTTTTGTAAGGAGGTCCAATAGTCACTTTACTTTTTTTTTTTTTTTTTTATTTTGATTTTCAGTGAATTACACATATCTTTTCAAAACTCTTCTCTCTTTCTTTAATTTCTCTCTCCTCTCTCTTCCTTTAGTTTCTTTCTTCTCTCTTTTATCTCATTTACATTCTATATCATTCTTTATCTCTCTTCTTTCATCATCTTTGTTCAATTCATCGTCAGATTAAAAATATCATAGAATGAAGAAATGTAACAGATTTTTATCATAATCAAGCTTGATGGTGTCCAAAGAGGATTGGTTTGTTCGTTCCCATCCATATCATGTTCGTTTTCTTTTTTTTTTCAATCTTAATTTTTCTCTGTGTTTTTTTTTTTTTTTTGTTAGCTATCTGTTTTTGGATGATTGTTAGTTTTTCTGTGAATCCCAGATTTGTCTTGCTAAGTTGGGGAGAAAGTGTGAGAAAAAAAGAAGAAGAAACTCTTTCGTGAGATAGTAACAAAAATACTGTTATTGTCGTGGGACACTAACAAAGGCATTGCTATTGTTTGGAGATAGTAACATCAAGCTTAATGAGTAGTGTCGTAATGTGTATTTTTTATTTTTTATTCAACACCAAGTTCTAATGTTTAATGGAGTTTACAGTGAATTAAGTCAATAAATTATATTTCAATAACATTGCTCTTTGTTTAATTTTTGATTTGTGTATTTGATTTTGTTTGAGTTTTAAATTGTATTTTGAAATATTTTTGGATATTTTGGTCTTTGTACAAATACATGTCCTTAAAATCCCAAAAAATATCTCCTTGAATATTTCCTCCTAAAAGTCCAAAACACTATACCAACTTTAATTCAAAAATTCCAAATTTTAATGTTATATCATACCCACTCTCAATCCAATAACTATAATGAATTAGATCATAATAACATTACTCTAATTAAAAAGGTAATGCTAAAGCTAAAGCTAGGATAGTGACGTAGCAGCCTGCTTTAAATGAGAAAGCATGGCCAGTAATCTACTGCATGCAGTGTAATATTCCTGTGTGTAAATAATGAAATTTTAGGAGCGGGGATATGGTACATGGAGGTTTAATTGCCAAGTCATGGGGCCGAGGTCCCCCACTTCATGATTTGTTGGTGAATGTATGAATATGGGCAGTCCTTGTAATTATAAACCGGCATATATATAATCCTCCAACGCCTTATGTGGTACCAGCACTAGCTGGGACCAAACTCATTTTTATTCTTCATCACCGGCCTTCTTCGTTCCTAAGTAGTCATCTGTCCTTCTCCATCATCAGTACACGACTTTGATGTTAATTTCTCCTTTATTTTTTCGTACCCTCCCTTCTAGTGTGTGCGTGAGAGAGAGAGAGAGATGCTGGGTGGAGTGGCTTATTACACCATGGTTTCATCATGACCACTTCAACCTCATTACAACCGAATGGTTATTAAACGCACCGGTTCAACGGTCAATGAACAAGTGTAGAGAGAGAGCTAAGGATTGTGGCGTTTGTGTGGACCAGTAGTTGCATGGAGCTTCTTCGAAGTGCCAAACAGAACAAACAAAAATTGGCCCAACCTCCACTTGGGCTTTGAGCCATCTTGTTCAAATAACTCGTCTCAAACGCGGGCCGGACCCTTCAAATTTTGTGTCCAGCCATCTTCTTTTGTTGAACTGAGCCTGGTCTCTTTTTATAAGAATTGGGTCCTTGAGCCTAGCCCAATAGATTTGACAGTGGGATACGAATCCAGCCCATGCCGAGATCAAATTTTTGAAGGCCGGTCTACAATTGTGGTCTTTTGGGTCAAGTAGCCCGGGTACTAACATTTTAAGGGTTTTAAAGGACAATTACGTGCGTAAATACGAAAATATCCCTAAAAAATATAACAGTAATGCTAAATTGATCAAATTTAAAGCCCAAATAATATGACAGTTTACTCGGACTTCTTTGATTGATGTCATGTCATTTGGGCCCCAATAAAAATTTCAAATTATCAACTGCCATGTCATTTGAGCTCTAAATTTTTAAAATCAATCTAGCATTACTCAAAGTAAAAACCTTGATGACAAAAACTATCGGCCATCCTCCCTTTACTGTGATATCACTGTCACTCAGGTCGTGTATATATATATATATGAAGAGATGTATTCAAATTTTTAGAGTAACTTGAAAATTTAATTTATTGTTATCGTTGGATTACTAATGAGTCTCTCAACATTAGATGGAATGCATCACTAATTTAATAGTCTCTGAATTAAATTCCTAAGTAGCATTACAGATTCACTGGGGAATATAAAGAGGATGTGATTAAGCAAGGAAGAATTGGCATACAACACATGATGATCGTGCTAATTAATTATAAGAACAAGCTATTCAAATCAAACCAACAAGCATGCATATAGCGGGAGATCCTAAGTATTACACAAAACATATATATACAAAGAAACATATATATGATAAGCGACGATGGAGATTGTTACAATACTAAAGATTGCATTTTACATGAGGCAGCAGGCATTGACGTTGTCGTCATTGAACATGTTGCTAACTTTATCGTCTCCCCGATGACTGATGGGAATGGTGCCATGCTTGTCACCGACGTTGTACCCATGCCTCCAGTAGTTGTAGCTCTCTTTGAACTCGCTGGTCGTGTCTTTGAAGTAGTTGTTTGCCGATGTGAAGTACAAAGGTGGATTGGGGTATGGCCAGAACTCAGCCCTCTTCCCCGCCCTCCTCACTGCCTTAAGCACCTTGTTGCGATCAACGTACCCAATCACTGTCACCTTCTCCATTTCTATGTCCACCTCTACCGAGTCAATCCCTGACCACGCATATCAAGTATATATGCTAGCTATAATCATCTTTTTTCTTCAAATATATATAATAATGCTTATTGCGGTGTAGGAAACCTTATTGGGAAATAATATTTTCATATTGATGCTTGAACTCCATTGGAAAAAAACAAACCAATCAACCCATTAGATTAGAACGACAATATTCATGTTGCAAACTTTTCCTTCATGTTCCTTCCAGTTCCAGTACAAAGATGGGTGATATATTTGTATGTACCTCTAAGCTTGTGGATGGCATCTCTAACAACTCTCTCGCAGCCAGTGCAGCACATCCTCACTTTGAGCTCTACGGTCTGAATAGTAAACACGGTTCAAATATGCTTTTCCACAAAAGTAAACACGTTTCTTTGCTTTCTTCTTATTCCTTTGTTCCTTTTGTCATCTTTAATTGCTAACCTTTTTAACCATGCATGCATTTAATATTGTTGAAACAAACAAGGACATCAGTTTGAAGCTTAATTGAATTTTTCCTCCATTTCTTGCCGATCAATGCACACTATTGGGACTTAATTTATTGACTTAATTCACTATGACCTTTGAATTCACTATAGAGTCCATCAAACATTGAAACTTACTATTGATCTAATAATTTCAATGCAGCCATATCATTAGATCAGTAAATTATTTTAAATTTTTTCAAATAAATAGTATTAGTCTTTCTTGCCACATCCCATCTGACCATAATAAGCATACGACACAATTCTTTGACAATATAAAAGACACACTAAAAAACTAACATTAGGGTACCCGGTAGATATATATTTGGGGGTGACTGTGAGACTGGTTATATATGAAAAAAATCACAAATACAAATATTACGGATGAAAGCGAACCTGTAAGGAAAGTGGTCGACCCTTGGGCATGTCGTAGTTGATGTTGTTGATATTTTTATGGTCGTCTTCTTGATAGCGAAAGAAACAGTATGCGATAGCCGAAACGAGAGAGCCAAATAGTTTCTCTAGGACGTTAGCCATAGGCAATATGTTCCTTAAATATGTAAGGAAGGACCGGAGAGAAGGGAAGACGAAGTTGAGGCCAGCTCTACAAGATATTCCTCAAAGGCATCTCTTCCTTGTGTTTAATCTCTTTGTAATATATTCCAAACAAAGTTGGGTAATACTATTCCATTGACTAGTTAGTTTCTTCTCTTGCGCTAAATTAATTGGAGTTGAGATAGGGATGTGGGTCATCACTTTCCTAGCTGATAGGTTAATTGATATATTCAAACCCTATAGACAGGCTAGGGAATGGAATCTGAAACCCTCAAATTAATGCTTGAAATGTGGGTGAAGCCAACATGGTTGCTGGCAGTGGCACTCATATAAGAGAGAATATCAGGTCTCTTGGGAGAGGAAATGAATGGGCTTAAGGAAGTAAAGGTGGGTTTTGATGCAAAGGAAGCAGATATTCTAAAGAAATCTCCTTTTTCCTCCATATTGGAAAATCACTGCCAAAGCAACACTTATCTACAAAGATATATTCCCACATTGCTATATGTTAGGCTTTCTTTATGTACCGTGGGGATATCAGTACCTACGGGCATATATATATATACACCGAGAATACAGCATATTTGGGTTCTACAATTTGATATTAATTTGTAAGCAAACCACAAATTGTAAAATAACAATATTAATTGGACTTAATAAGTGTACTTAATAATCACAACCATTGATTTTATCATGGTTTTTAATATTTATTGAAATCCACTACACAGCTACCATTTTCTTCAAAAACATTACTTATAAACTGACCCCGACCCAGAGGAATAAGTATTAAATGTGTGTGCAGGTTTTTGAATTTCGTGGCAAAATTCTAGGAAATATAGACTTGGGTTATGAAAATTCTGCACATTTATGGATGGGGACAATGCCTCTACATGTATATGTATATCATGGTCTACCACTCCAGTGGCATCTGTATCAATCTTATCTATATACAACGCGGAAAGGATTTTGATGACGCGGAAGTGAATTTTCTAAGGAATGTTGGCTTAAAGATTATTCGCACTAAAAATAAAAATCTGCCATTACACCTTTACTTATTAAAATAATTCGTCGTTAGTTGTTAAGGTGTTGCGCAACTGCTTTTGTGCATAATCCCACTAAAAAATTGGAAATTATGAATTAGTTTCCAAACAGACAATTAATTATAATAATATTAAGGCCCTCGTCCCTACACACTTGAGTGACAATCACCTGCGTCAAAAGAAATTTTTTGGACCACAGATGAATATTAGAGTTGAGGGAGGGCCGATGATTGGTGAAGCTCTCCCAACCGCAGTGTAGGATCTTGGCATTAAAGAGGGACCTTCAAGAATGTAGGCTTTTGTTGTTGTCTTATTGTAGGTGGAGAATGAATGACACTGACACACGTGTTTAATGACAGTGTAATAAAAATATGAAAGAACTGGAATTGTCTATTAACTGTCAGAACCGATCAATGTACAAAAGATTTTTCAGATAGGTGAAATTAGCGAATATTTTCACACAAGTCGAAAAGTTTATCTTAAACGAGTAATGCTATATAACTTGTTGGTTTTTTTTCATGGAGTCTAGTTTGTATATGTGATCCGGATGATGACCCGACCCGAAATAATGTTGTGTGGTTTTTAATGAAAAATTTTCTGAGACTTAGTCCATGGAGCGAAGGCTTGGGCCGATAGACCCAAGCCGTAGCGCTCATAGACAAGCCTTGTGGGGGTTCGGGGGCAACGCCCCCGAGGAAAATTTTTTTGGGCCCGTTATACAGCCCAGTGCGTAGGACATATAACCCTGTTGTTTTGGTGATTATGGTTAATCGTGGATGTACAACCGCTCTCTGTATTCAACTCTCTCAATAGTGAAATCCCTGCAGCTTCGTGGACGTAGGCAAATTGCCGAACCACGTAAAATCTGTGTCTTGTTCTTTCTTGTTTCTTATTGCTTTATATTCTTGATTTGTTCTTCGATTGTGTGTGTTTGTTAGTGGATTTAAATCGTGAGAAATCCCAACATAACTCAAATTTATAATTAAATTTTTATCCCTAATGAAGTAGAATTATTAAATAAATGAGTCTTATAAATTTTTTTAAATAGGATCCACTGATTCAATAATTCCTTTTTATTTAGAATGTAAATTTGAGCTACATAATATTTCTCGTCTTCAACGGGATAATTGTGTGTGTATTGCAGGAGGAGCAAGTGATGAAGATATTACAAGTACTTGTGCAGACAAGGATGCCCACACCAACCCCTGTATAGGGATCAATGTCGTGTATGACAACGTGGCTATCTACAATTGCTTCGAGTACAACTATATCAAGGGCCGCTCACCCCGTGTCAGGTATCGCAAGCATTATTTAAGTAGACACGACGTCTTTTCCGATACAACTTAGACTCAACCATCAAGAAAGAGACACATCTTTCGAGGAAACAGGGACACTCGAGGTAACGGGTCCCAACAAGTCACAAAGGGGTGTGACCGTGAGAGAGTCATGCCCGTTGTGCCTCTAGTGCACACGTACCCGGGATCCTCCTTTCTTTTTAGAACCCTTTTTCGAAGCCTTTGTTGAGGTACCCGATCAAAGATACTCACATAATTTTGACATTTCGAGACCCTACACATGACTAGGATTGACAATCATGTTCGTCGTCAATCATGTTCGTCCACAGCTATTATCTAATTTAGTTCTCATTTGAAGAAGGTCATATATCCTTGTTCCAAAGTAGGGACCCCTGCTCTTAATCTCGTGGTCAAGCAACAACATATCATTAGTTGATTTTACCACTATGGACATCAAATGGATTATATAGGTTCTCACAAGCGGTTTTGCTATGAGGGTATCCCTTGAGGATTTGCTAAGGACGCTATTCTTTACCATTCGCTGTCTCCCAATTATATGTCTTTTTACTTCCACGGTAGGGAGGTGGATCAGGTAGGTCATACCAAGATTGTCCCCGTACTTCTACTGTTCCATTTTTGTTCCTTTTTGAACAAAGGTATGTATCACCCCTTCCGCTGTGAGTGAGGAGTGAGCACCTCCCATGGTACCGCGGCCCTTGCAATTCAATGGGGAACATCTTGTCAGGTCTCCTTTTGTTTTGTCACGTGTTCTTCTGTGGTACGTACACGTGCTCTGATTTTATAAACTATTACGCATATTAAGACAAGTGAAAATTATTGGCCAAGTGGTCCATTATCTTTTTATGCCAGTAAGTACGCCCATGGACTTTCTAATCTCCCTAGGACATGGTTCCAAATAAATCTCCCAAGGACATAAGATTCTAAAATATGATGTGAGTGGTCTATAAGTATTAACTTTTATATTTTTAATAACACTAATACCTTTTATCTCTATCACTTGAGATAAAATAATTTTTTTTTTTATCTTTATCTCTTATCTCTCTCACACTTTAATCATTATAGACGGCGTCGCAAGGGAATGAGCTCCAATGACATGGCAAACCTATTGAAAACCCTTGAATAATAAAGTTGATGTCTACCACCATAATAAAATGAATCAAAGGCTAAATCATGCGATCAAACAAGCTTCAACCAATCAAAGCCATAAAAAAACAAAATAGTGTTTGAATTAACTTAATAAAAACACTTTTTGTTAAGGAAAAATAATGTAAGCACTTAAATAAATTAATAAAAAAAGGTAAAAATAATTAACTTCTACTTTTACAAATCACTTTTCATTTTTCGTTCTATTTTCTCCTCTCACTCCCCCAATACCTCTCTGCAAGCCCCCGAGGCCAAAGCCCTTCATGTAGTCGCTTCTCTCTCGACGCCGATGCCAATGCTGGCAATATATTCTCTCATCTCGCCAACCAACGACACTATCTTCTCTTTCGCCAACTATCAACGACGCCGGAACCGTCTGCTCTCTCACCGATCTTTGTTGTATGCTGGTCTAACCAAATCTCTTCAAACGAGGTACAATATCAATGAGATTTTCCTGGAAAAATCTGCCGGAGATTTTCTCAAGTCATCGGTGAGTTCAACTCTTTCAATTTATTATACTGTCACCTACATCAATGGAATCTTATGCTACACTGTGCGTGTATGATCCTACACAATATAAACACTAGAACAGATCTCTTTTATGGTGAACACGAGTCCGTCAATCGGGTGGTCGATCTTGCTACTTAGAACAGGTTGTGAGGGTCGAAGGTGGCCCAAGGAGGATAATGAATCGTTTTTATGAGTCGCCTGAATGATCCTGGGAGGCTCTTGGAACAGAGAAAAACAAGTTAGAAGGGCGCCGGAGTGTTTTTCGGCGTATCCCCTCCGACGATCAAGTCAGTTATTTGAGAGAGGGAAATAAGAAAACACTGTATGATGGTTGAGAGAGGGTTTGTTCCGTACATATTTTCTGTGTTTGTGAGGACTATTTATACCTTAAAAACTCTTCATTGCTGACAGTGTAGCTAGTAGATAATCATTGGAGGTGGGCATACACCAATTTCTATGAGTAATGTTCTTATTCTTTGCTGCTCGGGACCCCGAGCAACTAATGCTTTCTCCTCGGTCTGTCGAATGTTTAATGATCTTCCCTCGGCGGGGGTATATTAAATGCCCAGGCTTTGGGACATTTATTACCTTTCACTTCCAAGTTCTCATACATTAAATGTTGTCTCATCAAAGGAAGGGTGCATTAAATACTTGCTTTTCCAAGTCGTGTGTCAGCAAGGGCATTCTGATCTTTTTGTCTCTAATCTGACACAATATGCCACGTGCCCATTACCCTTTGGTTGAGTCTTCTGCTTTCTTATGCCTCCTGACACCATTTGAGTAAGACGAGATCATGATGGCTAGTCAATAGCTAGTGATCTGTCCATCAATAGCCCCTGCAGGAGCAGAAACTCTCACGCAGATAGATACACCTCGGTACCGAGGGACTAGCATGATTTAGGACCGATATACCCAAACTGCCGAGGAATACGTGTCGGTCCATGGTGGTTTGGGGATCAGTGATCCCTGTGAATAACATCCTCGGGGAAGGGGGGTTGGAAACCGACGAAGACGTGTAGGGATCAGAGCGGGAGAGTCTCCATTGACGCCGAGTACACGTGTTATCATCTGGGAGTGTCTAGAAATGTCCCATCATACACATACTCCGCTCTGTATCTCTGTGGACAAATATTATATATGTGTGTGTTTCTGAATTGTTATGTAG